TTAGCTACCACTATGCGGATGATACACAGCTCTATATCACGATGTCACCAGGTGACTCTGAACCCATCCAATCACTAGATCAGATAAATGTGTGGATGTGCCAAAACTTTCTCCAGCTGAACAGAAACAAAACTGAAGTCATTATCTTTGGACCTAAAGAGGAGCGAACTAGAGTCAATGCACAGCTTCAGTTATTACAACTAAAACCAGCGATCAGCCCGAAACCTGGGAGTAGTGATGACCTCTGACCTGAACCTTCAGAGCCACATTAAGACAGTCACAAAGTCGTCCTTCTATCACCTGAAGAACATCTCCAGGATTAGAGGACTGATGTCTCAGCACGATCTAGAGAAACTCATCCATGCGTTTATCTTTAGCCGCATTGATTACTGCAACAGCGTCTTCACAGGTCTGACTAATAAATCAATCCTCCAGCTGCAGCTGATCCAGAAGCTGCTGCTGCTGTTCTCACTAAAACCAGGAAGATGGAGACATAACACCAGTTTTAAAGTCCCTACACTGGCTCCCTGTAGCTCAGAGGATAGACTTTAAAATACTGTTAGTTTATAAATTACTAACCGGGTTAGCACCACAATACATTAAAGATCTGTTATTGCTGTACCAACCGTCTAGACCCCTCAGATCTTCTGGTTCTGGTTCTGCTCTGCATCCCCAGAACCAGAACCAAACGAGGAGAAGCAGCATTCAGCTTCTATGCACCACAAATCTGGAACAAACTTCCAGAAAACTGTAAAACAGCTGAAACACTGAGTGTCTTTAAATCCAGACTAAAACCCTCCTGGTTAGTTTATTTGAAACATAATCAGTTATGAATTTAACGACGGCATCGACTTAATGTGACGTTTTGATTGTTGATTCTCTGCTGCATGACTTTGTGTTTTTGTGATGTGAAGCTCTTTGAAATGCCTGCTGCTGAAATGTGCTGTACAGATACAATCTGATTGATTACTAACAAACACACACACAGACATACTGACACTGAAACACACCCTGCCCCTCCCATGTGGCTCCACCCCCCAGGTTCTGCTCCCTGCTCAGCTCGGAGTCCCGGTGGACCAGCGCCGCCTGGACCGGGCCCTGTCGGACCTGGACGTCACGCTGGAGCGGCTGGAGTCCATGTTCCTGCAGCGCCAGGCGTTCCTCTGCGGCGATGACATCACTGTGGCCGACCTGCTCGCCGTCTGTGAGCTCATGCAGGTGAGTTGGTGTCTGGAGAGGCGGGGCGGGGCTTGGCCGGTTCTGAGCGCGCTCACTGTGTGTCTGCAGCCACTGGGAAGTGGGCGGGACATCCTGAAGGACCGTCCCCAGCTGCGGCACTGGAGGAGCCGCGTCCAATCAGCCGTGGGCGAGTCGTTTGATGACGCTCATGCCGTGCTGTTCGCTGTCAGAGACCGCCGCCGCGCCAGGCTGTGACATCACCGAGGGGGTGGAGCCTCTTCATTAGGACCGGAGCTCACTGGACACCGATTGGCCGACCTCATGATGTCATGTGACAGACTGTGCCTGGCCAGGTTCTGATGAATAAAGATGATTATTTTCTCCATCTGTGGTTCTGATTCTTCACCTGACTGGACCCTGTTTCAATAACTAGCTTCTTTGATCATTTTAAGGTTTGAATAGAAATAATTTAGATTAAATTATAGATAAACAGGATTAAATGTTTTAGTCTCTGGTTCTGAGAACCGGACCGGACCGGACCAATCCTCAGAACCAGATCCAATCAGTTCAGACCCTTCTTGGTTCTGATCTCGGTTTTCTTCAATCATTAAATGTTTTAAACAAAAACACTGCAGATGGATTTTTCTGGTTCTGTTTATTGCTCCGGAACCAGAACCGGACCGGTTCGACAGCACTAGAACTTCCTCTTTGCAGGGTGATGAAGATGCTCCTCTTCCTCCTCTCCTCTTCCTCGTTTCCGATTTAAACTTCCTGCTGAGGATGGCTCCGCCTCCTGCAGGGGGAGCCGGGCTGCCGTAAGGGCTGGGCTTCGTGTTGCATGAAGGTGTGTGGTCGTGTGTGGTTACCGTAGAAACAGCAGCAGATGGAGCATCAGCAGCATCTCCTCCTCCTCCTGCTGGCTTCATGAGCCTGTGAGCCGTCTGCAGCATTGGCTGGTCCTGAATCACAGGAGAGCCACTGACTACACCTCCCATCATGAAAGGGAGGAATTAGGAGCGTTTGGTTTTGACTAGAAGTAACTCAGGGTTCTACAGACATTCATTACAGGAAGGAGTTTCTATGTTTTTACTTTGTTTAACTTTGATTTAACCAGCATTGAGATCATCAGCATAAAACTAAAAATTTAAACATTACATACAATTAACATCCACAAAAACGACCTGCAAATGTTTTAACCCATCCAAACATTAAAAAAAACGCATCCTATCCCATTGGGATATGTGTGGTGATAAAGTGGCTGCAGTTCCCCTACCTGCAGCCAGGGGTGCTGCAGAGCTTCATCCACAGTCATCCTCAGCTTGGGGTCGACCACCAGCAGCTTCCTCACCACGTCTTTGGCTGAAACATCAGTGAGGTCTCAGCGTCAGCTCCCGGGCCGCCTCACCCTGACGGGAAACCCAACCCTTCCCCCGGTTACCGTGGTTACCTTGGTTGGAGACACGCCTCCACTTGGACGGGACCATGGTGAATTCCCCGTGGATGATCTGCTCCGTCACTGAGCGCTCGCCGAAGCTCTCGTGGAATGGTGCGTAGCCACTGAGGCTGCCAGAGGCACCGGGTTAGACCGGGGACACAGCCGGCACTGCAGTGAGGGGGGCGGAGCTTACCAGACAAACAGAAGCACACCCAGGCTCCAGGCGTCCACCGCCAGCCCGTAACCGGTGCTGGAGGCGTGGGTGAAGACCTCAGGGGCCAGGTAGGATGGAGTCCCACACAGCGTCCGCATCAGGGCCGCCTCCTCCAGGATCCTTGACTGGTTGAAATCTGTCACCTTCACGAGGGGGCGGAGCAACCAGAGGGCAGCATCACAGGAGGGCAAAGAGGACGCCCTCTAGCAGGATGAGGAAGGTGGACTCACCTTGATGAGACATTCGTCCTCACTGGAGGACAGGAGGACGTTCTCTGGCTTCAGATCTCTGTGGATGATCCCGTTCCTGTGGAGGTACTACACACACACACAGTTACCTGGCAGTGCTGGTTACCATGGCAACAGCAGCAGGCCTCACCTGCACGGCGCAGAGCATTTGATAGAAGTAAAGCTTGGCCACGCCTTCATCGAGCTGCTGCTGAGACTTCACTCTGTGGAAGAGCTCACCGCCCTCCATGCTGGGGGGCGGAGCCAGAGATAAGGGTTGGAGTCAAACACAAAGGGGCGGAGTCATAGATAATGGGGCAGGGCCTCATGCTGGGGCGGGGCACAGCAACCAAGGCTCTGGTGGGACTCACAGCTCCAGGACGATATAGTAGCTGTCCTCCGTCTGGTAGAAGTCCTCCGTCTTTATGAGACACGGCTGCAGGAGACAGACGTCTATCAGGACAGATGAGACGTGTCTCTTCTTCATTGGTTTTACTTACATGATCGACCCTCTGCAGGATCTCAATCTCCGTCTCTGCGTTCCGTGTCGCAGTCTGTAATTGGACGATAAAGCAAACAGGTAACATGTTCATCACAACGTTCGTGCCGCCATGTTTGGAGTCCTGAGGCGAGCAGAGACAGGAAGGAGACGTGAGAGCGAATCAGATCGCAGACCCACCCCCTCAGACTGGAAGTTCTTCTTGTTGATGATCTTAACTGCAAACTTCCTGCAGGTGGAGCGTTCGAAGGCCAGCCGCACCTCGCCGCACACACCCCTAGAACACAGCGGGGGGTTAACGGACCCGGGTAATGCTGCAGAACCGGTTAGAACCTCCAGAACCTTCAGCTTCTCATGAAATGGGATTCACACTGGAGTTTTCAACCCATCTTCCAAAACCCAACAAAATGGAAAACAGCAAAAAGCTGGGCAGAGATCGGGTCAGAGACAGGAAGTGGACCTCCGAATGGAGCCAGAGACAGGAAGTGGAGCTCCAGCAGACTCACGTTCCGATCCGGCGGGTCAGCACGTATTTGTCCTGCAGAGCTCTGAGTAAACTGGACTGATCATCGGACATCAGGTCGATGAAGACAAACACTGCAGGGTACAGAGGACACGCGGTCAGTCAGGTGGGTCAGACTGAGGCAGGAAGACCAGGTAAATGGTCATGTGACTCAGGTGCATCACCTCGGTTGCGCTGCTCAGCCAGAGAAAGGACGGCGTTATTCGTTAGAGGCAGCTTCTTGTTCTGACCGACCTTCACCCCGTCCACAAACGTCCCGTTGTTACTGTAGTCCTCCACGAAGACCTCCGATCCCTCCTGGGGCCAGAAGGGACAGAGGGGGGGGACAAATGGAGGACAAGTGAGACTAAACCAGTCGCAGGAAAGACATGTTTTCTGCTGAACCACCGGAACCAGCGGCCCAGTTCCCACCCTGTAGATCCTGAAGTGCTTCTTGCTGTAGATCCTGAACCTCTTGGACTTCCTGTCCTCCGGGTCGTCCAGGACATAGTCGCAGGCGGTGTCCCGTCCGAACAGGTACCGGTCCTCCACACAGTCTGGAAGCACAGAGAGGCGGGTGAGTTCTGGCTCCGGCCCCGTTCCGGCCCGGCAGAGCAGAGGACAGTGGGTCACCGTGGCTCCGGAAACCCGGGGCCATGGGGAGCAGCCGGCCCCAGGGCTGAAGCTCCGCCTCCTCCGGGACAGACGGCAGCGTGACGGGGAGCGTGTCCACGCTGCTCAGCGTCCCCGAGCCGCTGGACGACTGGCTGGCAGAGGCAGGACCGCTGGACGAACTGGACCCCTGCTGGGACGGGGGCCGGTTTTGGGATGGTTCCCCCTCAGCTGAGCTCTCTGCAGACATTCTGACACCTGCAGAACAAAACAGGATTGAAGTCTTTGTCTAAACAGGATGGACTACAGCAGCAGATGGACACTCCATGGTGGATTCTAGTCAGGAAGGTGATTTCCGGATCAACCATCAAACAATCATCCATTTCTAATCAATTAACTAATATTCAAAGATTCATTGCTTTGTGGTCGAATTCTGATGATTGAAATACCAACGTCTAATACCCTGGTCCAGGTACTCTGCCCCGCAGGGCATGCCAGTTTTAGGTGTTACGCACCAGAGTGGGACGAAGGCACCAGGGAACCAAAGTGAGTCAAACTGGGGTTACCCCAACTCCTCCTGTTCCCTGGTTCATACAGAACAAGGCTGAACCTCATGGACGTGGTTCTTCATGGACAATAGACTGTTGTTCTGACAGTCAAAAAGGAGTCAAATGTTTACAGATCTATGCCTGTTTTCTTAAATAAAATATAATAACAATGCCATGTTATCATTTTTTGAGCTTGGGTACACACATTTTGGGAAATATGTTAATGTGAGTTAATTATGAACGACATGATACCCATTGTCTGCCAACAATACAGAGTGCTTGACACCAGTGAAGAAACTTTTACTGGTATGTAATGATGTCCAGGGGTGTCAAACGTACGGCCCGCGGGCCG